CACACCCACACCCACATCCACTCACACCCACACCCGCCCACAGTCGCCCCACACCCGCCCACAGTCGCCCCACACCCACACCCACATCCACTCACACCCACACCCGCCCACAGTCGCCCCACACCCACACCCACACCCACATCCACTCACACCCACACCCGCCCACAGTCGCCCCACACCCACACCCACACCCACTCACACCCACACCCACCCACACCCACACCCCACACCCACACCCACACCCACCCACACCCATTCACACCCACACCCCACACCCACACCCACCCTCAAGATAGAAACATATAGCGTGATGAATACTTCCAATGTCATCAGTGGTTGTTCTCTATTCACGCCATGTAGTGTGAAGGTTTTTTGTATATTCCCAGTGAGCACAACTACAAAATCAATTGGAACTGTGTAAAGGATGTGGGTATAGAGTTTCAGTTTATTAACATTTACAACTAATTGTCGCACAAAAGCAAGTCATTGTAGGCGAAATATATCATTTTACTATTCTTAAAAGAATAGCAATCGATAAAATTAACTCAGCGTAATCAAAACCTATTTAAGGAGATTTTATTCATTTCATGTTCGGAAAAAAACAAGTCAGTATGCAAAATTTTATATAGCAATTATTTTTTCAATATTTGTTTCTAGAGTTTTAGGATTTTTAAAAACAGTCCATTTACGTTTTGGTACATCTTTGAATGCTTTTATATATCGTTCTTGACATTGTGGTAAACATTTAGTTGTTTGACAAACATCCCGAATAAAAATATGAGCAATACTTTGAGAAAACGTATTGTATAGTTCAGCATAAACTTCAGCATCTTGTTCTCCTAAACAAAAAGCAAATCAACTCATTCATATATAATCTTTTTTCAATATTTTATCAAACCTGAATCTCCAACAAGAATATATTTCCTGAAAGGAAAAGCACGAATAATTTGTGAAATGGTATCCTTTTTATAGGTGTCAATGGCTTTTAAAAATTTCACGGGATTCTCATATTTTCTTAAATTGATTGTACCCGTTGGATAGTTATGCTTCTCCAAAAAGCAAAAAATAGCCTGAAATCTAAAATTTATTCATTGATATTAGTCTTTCTTCGAATTCATATAAAGATTTTTGACTTACAATTGCCATGGACTTGCACTAACATAATGAAATTGACATTTTTGTTGATGCCATTTTTGATAAAGTTCATTCATACCATTAACAGGTTTGAAATCATCATAAAATGTATTTTTTAATAATGATGGTATACTTAAAACTTTCGAAATTTTTATTGTATCATCAATATCGGATATAACACTAATACCTTGAGATGCAAGAATATATATCGTACATTTTTGTGTTTTCAAAGTATCCGAATTCGTATCAGTTTTCGATATACATGTTCGAATTTCACAATCAAATTGTCGATCATCAGAATCAGGATGAATTACTTTTGAAATTGTTTGTATTTTTTCATGAGGTAATTCAAGTTTTTCTTCTACTAAACCATATTCATCAGATGTTTTTGTTAAATGTTCAATATCATGAATAATACATTTAATTGCAGCTTTAGCTGGTGTTCCAACAAAAAATAAACTTAATCGATCTGGCTTTTCTTTTGCTTTATCAAAACCTATTTTGATAATCAAACAAATATTTAAAGAGAAGATAAATAAATTTAAACTCACATTGAGCATCTTCATCTATACACTTGTCAGTAGTTAATTTTTCTTCCTTCATTTTATATTTACTTGCTTCACTTAGAACAAGAGTTTTCAAGTTTTTTAGTACATCAGTTTTCTTAGTGTTTTGATTTATAGAATCTTCAGACTTTTCTTCAGTTTTCCCAGTTAAAATACTAGGTAATGATGATAAATAGTTTTTGAATTTTTGAATTTCAAATGGTAAATATAACCAAGCTTTAATGTGAATATGCCAAAGCTTTGTATCTGGATCAAATATAGCTAAACTGGGAAATGGTACAATAAGTGCTTCATCAGCATAGACATTATTTGCTGCCCACTGAACCATATAATCTTTTGTTAATGCCACTGCTGAAAATAGACCTTCGTACATAGGAACTTATTTAATTTAACAATAATACTTTCTCAGAAGTACAAGAAAAGTTAACATCATTCAAGAAAATGAGTTTTTCATTAGTAGACAACGTATGGTCGAAAAGTTTTTGGACAAAATATTTGTTCACTTTTGACCAACTAGAAAGTATTTCGGACGAGTCAAAAGCTATATGTTAGAACCAGAATTTTGTGCTCTCTTCAAATATGGGCTCAGAAATTTTGTCCCAATTTTTGTTCGAGAATAGTGAAATAATCTTTGAGAAGTCCAAAAAAATGAGTTTGGACGGAACTTGTTGGTTGAAATTCGTGATAAAGATGCTTTTTGATTTTGACCGTCTTGAAACCATTTCGGACTAGTCAAAACTATAGGTTACGACTAAAATTTTGTGCTGTCTCCGAATATGGGCTTAAAAATGTTGTATCTTTTTTCTTCAAACGCAGTGACGATCTTTTTGGAAAGATCTGAAAAATGATTACTCGTTTTTTAATGATGAAGTAACATGGTTTTCTCCACCCTATAAGCTCTTTTTCGAACATGCTAAAAATTGTTCAAATTGGTCATTTTGTACAGCAAACAATTCTCTACAAAGTGTGATGTTGACCTAAGCTGTAGCTTTTACTTAACTGTAGTCACAATCATTTTGTCAAGTTCTCTTTTCGAAGTGGAACAGTTTTGGTCAAAAAGTCGGTTTTTTAAAAAATAACTATTCCGGAAAAAGAAAAATTGAGGGGTTTTGTCAAAAGAAAAAAAAATGTGGAATGGTGCATTTTGTAAAGCAATTTTTGATCTACAAGATGATCTATAAATAAAGACCCCAACTTTTCGTTTCGAGTTGTAGTAGTAAAAATACAAACGTGTGTGGAAAAACTCTCCGTCCAAACTCATTTTTTGGACTTCTCAAAGATTATTTCACTATTCTCGAACAAAAATTGGGACAAAATTTCTGAGCCCATATTTGAAGAGAGCACAAAATTCTGGTTCTAACATATAGCTTTTGACTCGTCCGTAATACTTTCTAGTTGATCAAAAGTGAACAAATATTTTGTCCAAAAACTTTTCGATCATACGTTAGATATGTAGTAGCAAGAATCATTGTTTTAAGAAAAAATAAATATCGTCCTGAACCCCTTATATAGAATCTATGTAATATTCTCTAGCAGATTCGTAGTGCTGTATTTCAATGTGATCCTACTATTCGAATTTGATGGAATCCAATACTCCGTTCTGACTTACCTCTACTGTTACTACTATTTGATTAATTAATTCAATATATTTTTTCGTTGGATCTGTTAGTGTGTTTGTTTTCGAGAATTCGATAGATTCCAGTATCGAATTCAATAGAATCGATTCTTTGTTTATTGATAGAAAATCCACGTAATACTCCATCCAATAGGTATTTGTTTATTTAAAAAAATCTTTATAGTCAATAGAATTCTCTTTCCTAAAGGTACACTCCTATATTCCAACAAGAATAAATCAAAGTGAAATAGCATAACTGAAATAAGGGAATACTTTCTTTTTAGTTTCAATTTATTACTCATGCAGATGAAAAACATCGTCTATTTTCTATAGAATATGATTCATGCTGATATTTTAAGAATCATTCTTAGTATATTTAACTCCCTTACGTATGTTAAAATCAATTCAATAACTCATCGTTTGAAAGCCTTTACTTAATGTTGTCAGACAACAAAAATATAAATTTATTTGTACCTTTTGTCATTTGCTCTAAAACACGGTAGTTGGATGCTGTCGATGGTATTCCAGTTGATGTTGATGAAGAAGATATGCTTGACTGATATTTGGCTGATGAAGTTGTTTCTTCGTTCCATATAGCAAATAATGGTTTAAAAAGTGTCATCGATGTTGTAATTTCTCTTAGCCCTATAATATGCAGTCCAGTGGCTGAATTTAATTGATCAATTACTTCGAAATAGGAACCAGGCATGAGAATGATTTCTTGCTCCGTATTTTTGAAATATGACTGTTGTGAAATAGATTTTCCATTGATACATTCAATCGAAAATAACGTGTTTTGTTCTTGTGCACTAAAAGATTGACTGATTTCTAGTGTTTGCATATCAGTCATACAAGAACTAATACCCCACCAAGCAAATATTGTACCCTTTTCATATTTCGCACTCAAATCAACATCACGAACTCCACGCCATACTTTTGTTTTCTGTGATGGAAGTTTACAAAGTGCAGTACAAAATAGTTTGAGATAAGGAAACCATGGTTTCAAATTTTGTCGATTTTCAGAACGTAATGATTGATTAAGTAATTCAAATAGACTTGGTCCGTCATCAAATTGCATAGTATATAATTGAATAGAAGCTGATTCTTCTTGAGTTAATCCATCTGTAGGATTTTGAGAATTATTTAATGCGATCATTATTTTATCTTTAATTCCATTGAAAAAGCTGGAAACGGGTTGCATTGCTTCTATTAATGAAACAAGTGGCTGGTTTTGTTGACCTCGTATTGGTGGTAACAAGCGATCTATAGGTTCATCTATAAGGTCAGTAAATCGGGATTTGTTAGTATGTTCCATTGTTCTAAAGTTTGACTGTTTTAATTTACCACAACAAAGAAATAAGCAAAGGTGTGAGAAATCTAAAAAACAAAGAACTATGAAAGTCTTGAATTTTATTTAACTCAAAATTAGACGTTTCTTATGCTCGAAAACTAGTCCAAATTTTCGAAATGGAAAAGTTGACTTGTGATATACTTTCACACATTCGAGAATATATCTTATATTCTCTTTTGTATTCATGACTTAACAGTGTACATAGATGATGCTACCATATACAACTGATTTTTAACATAAATGGTCTAAGAACTCATACATTCCTGTTCTTCAATAAATTATACAATTTTCAGCTTCCACCATCGACGAAAGTCAATTTTTTTCAGAAAATACTTACGTACACTGACGAATAAATGGTCGGTCTCATTGGCACCAATCGTTTATATTAGTTAGTACATTTGAACTTGTGTTATTCTTCTAATACTTTACTCACCATAAGAAAACAAAGAAAATTCGATATAAAAACAAAACTATTTCGAAGCGTTTTTGATATTTGCTCGTTTCGTCTAATGCTTCCTTTTTCTTTCGTTGAAGGAACAGAAATATATACATATATCACTCTTTCATTTTTATTTCTTTGGTTTTCTTTTCTTTTGCATAATTTTTGTTGCGTATTCTATCGCAAACATTTACACAGCATGTGCTCGTTGTACATGAAATGATATGCTTGAATGATTTTCTTATAGTGAATATTGTATATGATAGACCATCAAAACGTACTCATGTCACAAACATTATTCACTAGCCAAATGTGCTAACCACAGTTGTTATCAAGCCATTAATTACAATCATATTTACTTCGTTTTGTACACCTCAAAGAGTTCATTCTTAACTAATTTGTAGTTTAAGAACAAATACCAGTCTATCAAAAAGACTAAATCATGAAAAAGTGATAGTAAATAATCTCTTTTTTTTGTTTTCTGATTGAAAATTGAAAAGAGTTTTGTTTGCTTTACTAGGACACGTGTATTTATGATGTAATTGATTCTAAGCATTCTACGAGATTAGTGTAAATGGACGTAGTGTGAATTTTCTTCATTCACCCACCCACACCCAAGATAGTCCCAGAATTTTTTTGCCAGAGCTGTAGTATTCTCGTTACCAGTTAACCAACATATTTTTCAAAGTTTCTTTATATTTGATGTAAAACCCTTTTCAGTGCAACCAATAATTTCTTCCTACAATAATTTGTTAATTATCGTGAACGAAATATATTTATCTTTCTCAGAGACGCTTTTTTCATTGAAGCAATACTTACGATATTAATATTCAACACTCAGGAAAATATGAGAAAAAATTGTCTTAACAAACAAATGGCTCTTAAATCCCAATTGTTTGTCAGATGGTTATCAGCCAGAGGTGTCCATCGCGGCTGAAAACCTGCCGCTGCCGCGATGATATAAAAAGTGTAAGCTGCCGCGCCGCTGTGGTGTGGGTGTGGGGTGTGCGTGTGGGGTGTGGGTGTGGGGTGTGGGTGTGGGTATGAGTGTGGGTGTGGGTGTGGGTGTGAGTGTGTGTGTGCGGTGTGGGTGTGAGATGTGGGTGGGTGTGGGGTGTGGGTGTGGATGTGGGTTGGTGTGTCGTGGGCGTGTGGGGGTGGGTGTCGGGTGGGTGTCGGGTGGGTGTGGGTGGGTGTGGAGTGTATGTGGGTGGGTGTGGGGTGTGTGGCTGTGGGTGTGGGGTTTGTGTGGGTGGGTGTGGGGTGTGTGTGGGTGGGGGTGTGGGTCTAACTGAAAACACAGTACCATCTACCCACAACGACACCCACACCCACACCCACACCCACATCCACACCCCACACCCACACCCACACCCACACCCAC